CTGGAATGTGGTAACAACAAAAAGCCGACAGCGCTACTGCCTGGACTTCTCACAGGGGGACCCCGGACTTCTCACAGAGGGACCCTGACGACCCAGATTCCGAGACGAATCCAGCCATGACGACGAGGAGTGGGTAGCGGTATCAGCATCATTCCTCCGCTGACGGAAGAGGAGGAGGGAAGAGGAGGGAGGAGGAGGCGGATGAGGAGGAGGAGGAGGAGGAGGAGGAGGAGGAGGACGAGGAGGAGGAGGAGGGAGGAGGAGAGGAGGAGGAAAGAGAGGACGAGGGAGGAGGAGGACGAGCGAGGAGGAATGATGCAGATACCATTGTTTGACCATTCCGGGCCTGGCGCCGTCCTCCTCCTCCCTCGTCCTCTCTTCCTCTCCTCCTCCTCCTCCTCCTCCCCCTCCTCCTCCTCCTCCTCCTCCGGGGGGTCTTCATGACAACGACTGCGCACTACCGATGAGCCCGAGCACGTGGCCACCTGGCCGTGTTCGCCCAGAGTAGGTCCTGGCTCAAGCTGGAGCAGGCGGGATGAAGCCAGATTGAGCGCGACAAGGCCAGGGTAGGACGGCCGTCGACCGCGGATGACCCCGCGCCGATGCTGAGGTGCCCCCCCCCCCCCCCCCCCCAGGTTTTGCAACCCAGCATCTGCATCCGACGCTGCGCGGAACAGCAGGACACGAAACGTGACGAAATCACGACGGGGACCCATGACCCCACCTCTCTGCGCGGCTCCCCGACCCGGATCTTCGCGGGGCCCGGAAAGCCCCGAGGCGTGGAGTCCACACGTGAAAACGCTTGAAGGCGGCCGCCCTGCTTCTGTTCGCGACCCGCTGACCTGCGCGACAGGAGGCCCGCGCCGGGGATCTCCCTACACGCACCTGGAAGACAAACATTACGCTACCGAGGAACCCCCCACACACTTCGCTTGAACTCTTGCCTCAGCATAGGTGACGTGCAACATACGTGGATGATGCTACGTGGTCAAGAGATTGCCGCGCCCGCTGCGCCGTGGACGACCAGGGCGGATAGTCCCACCTCCCCCTGCGCACCCTCTCCGGCGTCGAGAAAGTACAACGCCTGCCACGCCCCCCGACCCTGACACGCATGCCGCATAGAGGCCGCGCTGAGAGACCATCCCCTGCGCACCCCCTCTGGTGTCGAGAAAGTGCCACGCCTGCCACGCTCTCGGACCCTGGCACGCATAGGGGCCGCGCTGAGAGATCACCCCATGCGCACGCTCTATGGAATCGAAGAAAAGACACGCCTACCACACTTTGCGGGCCCGAAACGGATAGCGACCGCACCCCCAGCGCACCCCATTGTGGTATCGACAGTGTCACGCCTGCCACACTTTGCGAGCCCGAAACGGATAGCGACCGCACCCCAGGCGCACCCCTTTGTGGCATCGAGAAGGTGCAAGGCCTGCCACACTTTGCGAGCCCGAAACGGATAGCGACCGCACCCCCAGCGTACCCCCCTGTGGAGTCGAAGAAAAAACACGCCTGCCATACTTTGGAAGCCCGGAACTGATCGCGACCGCACCCCCATGACACTCCTTGTGGTATCGATAAACTCCCACGCCGGCCACCCTTTGCAAGCCTGAAACGGGTAGCGACCGCACCCCCAGCGCACCCCCTTGTGGCATCGAGAAAGTGCCACGCCTGCCACCCTTTGCGAAGCCGAAGCGGATAGCGACCGCACCCCCTGCGCACCTCCGTGGCGTCGCGAAAGTGCCACACATGCCACGCTTTGCAAGTCCGAAGCGGATAGCGACTGCACTTTTATGACACCCCATGTAACGTCGAACGAAACGGATAGCGACCGCACCCCATGACACACACACACAAACAAACACACACACACACACACCCTGTGGCGTCGAGAAAGTGCCGCAACTGCTACGCATGGCGAGCCCGAAGCGGATAGCGACCGCACCCCCAGCGCACCCCCATGGCATCGATAAAATGCTACGCCTGCCACGCCTTGCGAGCCCGAAGCGGATAGCGACCGCACCCCCGGCGCACCCCCTTGTGGCATCGATAAACTGCCACGCCTGCCACCCTTTGCGAGCCCGAAACGGGTAGCGACCGCACCCCCAGCGCACCCCCCTGCGGCATCGAGAAAGTGCCACGCCTGCCACCCTTTGCGAGCCCGAAACGGATAGCGACCGCACCCCCTAGGCCCCTACGGTGTCGAAAAACTGTCACGCCTGCTATCCACTCCAGGTCCTACACGTATGTCTTGTATATGGCGTGTCATGTGTATGTGTATGTTGCGTGTGCGGACGTATATGGACGTGTGTCCTGCGAGCCTGGAGCGTATACAGACCGTGCGCAGGGACCACCCCATGCGCACCCCCTCTGGTATCGAGAACATGCCACGCCTGCCGTGCCCTGCGAGCCTGGAGCGTATAGAGACCGCGCTGCGAATACACGAGAGTGACTAGGTCTGCGTCGGCGTGTCATGTGTATGTGTGTAATATGTGTCAGGCTGTATGTGGACGTGTGTTTCATGTGGGTGCCCAGTCTGTGGTGCATACGTTTTGGGTGCATGATGCAGTGCATACGCCAAGCGTGCACTAGCGTTGTATGGTGTGCTTGTGTGTGCGCGTGTCTCTGCATGCGTGTCTTGTGTCTTGTGTGCCTTGTGAATGTGTATGATGTGTGTGCGGCTGTATGTGGACGCGTGTCTCAATGTGGGTAGTGTCTGATTCGTATGCGGCTGTATGTAGACGCGCATGTCATGTGAGTGCCATGCGTTGTGTCATGCTGCATATGCCTCTGATTCGTGTGACCGGCTAGTGCGTGCGCGCACGTGTGCGCATTCCTTGTGTGCGTATGTCTAATACGCGCATGAGCGTGAATGAGTTGAGGAGGAGAGGTGAGGAAGACTGAGGGAGGAGGAGGAGGAGGAAGAGGAGGAGGAGGAGGAGGGGGAGGAGGAGGAGGAGAAGGAGGAGGGGCGAGCGGAGAAACGCGGGTGAGACGCGACTGGTAAGACAACAAGACCACCACTAAGCATGTGGGTAACAACGGATCCTACGCGGTGGCTTGAGCGGGCCTTCAGCGCGGCACGCCACATTGGAAACGAGGGCGCCTACGCGCGACCTTCCGCTGGCAGCTTACGCGCCAATGTCGGAGCGCGGTCCACTCCATGTCTCCCCACCTCTCTCGTTTGGGGGGGAAAGTGCTCCCGAGGACCTCGGGGAAGGACGGGAGAGGATGCGCCTCCACCGACCCCGGCCCTAGGGGCGGGGCGTGTCCGCATCAGGCGCTCCGCGAGGCCCCCGGTGGCACCGCCCCCAAGAGGGAGGAGGGCGGGGAGGGGGCGGAGGACAAGCTAGGTGCGCTCGCGTCATATCTGACGTCCTTCCCCTCCCTCCCATCCCTTACCATGGCGCTGATTCCCCACATGTTTCGTCGGGTTCTGGTTTTCTTCTTTGCCGCGCCGCACCCGCGAGCCTCACACCTCACTCTTCCCCTCCTCTTCTTCCTCTCCTCACCCGCGCTCTGCACATGCACCAACATGCACGGCAAGTACATGAGACACGCGTCTCACCCGCGTTTCTCCTCCTCATTCCCCACATGTTTCGCGGGGTTCTGGTTTTCTTCTCTGCTGCGTCGCACCCGCGTCTCCTCGCACACACCTCCCCTCCCCCCACACACACAGCACAGCACAGCTCGCACAGCTCAGCACAGCTCAGCTCAGCACAGCACAGCTCAGCACGGCACAGCACAGCTCACCGCAGCACAGCACAGCACAGCACGGCAGAGCACAGCACAGCGGGTCGGAGAGCGCGGCAGGAGTGGCACTTTCTCGACACCACAGGGGGTGCACAAAAGGTGGTCCCTCAGCGCGGCCTCTATCCGTGACACGCTCGCAGATCGTGGCAGGAGCGGCACTTTCTCGACACCACAAGGGGTGCGCAAAAGGTGGGTCCCTCAGCGCGGCCTCTATCCGTGACACGCTCGCAGATCGTGGCAAGAGTGGCACTTTCTCGACACCACAGGGGGTGCGCAAAAGGTGGTCCCTCAGCGCGGCCTCTATCCGTGACACGCTCGCAGATCGTGGCAGGAATGGCACTTTCTCGACACCACAGGGGTGCGCAGAGGGTGGTCCCTCAGCGCGGCCTCTATCCGTGACACGCTCGCAGATCGTGGCAGGAGCACTTTCTCGACGCCACAGGGGGTGCGCAGAGGGTGGTCCCTCAGCGCGGTCTCTATCCGTGACACGCTCGCAGATCGTGGCAGGAGTGGCACTTTCTCGACACCACGGGGGTGCGCAGAGGGTGGTCCCTCAGCGCGGCCTCTATCCGTGACACGCTCGCAGATCGTGGCAGGAGTGGCACTTTCTCGACACCACAGGGGGTGCGCAGAGGGTGGTCCCTCAGCGCGGCCTCTACCCGTGACACGCTCGCAGATCGTGGCAGGAGTGGCACTTTCTCGACACCACAGGGGGTGCGCAAAGGGTGGTCCCTCAGCGCGGCCTCTATCCGTGACACGCTCGCAGATCGTGGCAGGAGTGGCACTTTCTCGACACCACAGGGGGTGCGCAGAGGGTGGTCCCTCAGCGCGGCCTCTATCCGTGACACGCTCGCAGATCGTGGCAGGAGTGGCACTTTCTCGACACCACAGGGGGTGCGCAAGGGTGGTCCCTCAGCGCGGCCTCTATCCGTGACACGCTCGCAGATCGTGGCAGGAGTGGCACTTTCTCGACACCACAGGGGTGCGCAGAGGGTGGTCCCTCAGCGCGGCCTCTATCCGTGACACGCTCGCAGATCGTGGCAGGAGTGGCACTTTCTCGACACCACAGGGGGTGCGCAGAGGGTGGTCCCTCAGCGCGGCCTCTATCCGTGACACGCTCGCAGATCGTGGCAGGAGTGGCACTTTCTCGACACCACAGGGGGTGCGCAGAGGGTGGTCCCTCAGCGCGGCCTCTATCCGTGACACGCTCGCAGATCGTGGCAGGAGTGGCACTTTCTCGACACCACAGG